CTGCTTAGGTTCCTTTAAGAATTGAAATTCTAATTCCAGTTCTGTACATACACTAAGCACAGAAAAATGCATAAAGATATTATCTCAAATACGTGTGCTTGTAAACACATTAGTCACTCAGAAACCTATACAAGTTCAAATATATAAACAAGTATATACACATCTACCTATAGATACACATAAGCCAAAACATGCAAAGAAACCACACATAGATACCCACACACTCAGGAAAGGGGAATAAACCAACCTGATTTTCTGGGGTTGCTGCACTGGCCTAAGACCTCACACTTTCAGATCGAGGGGCAGGAGACTAGAAGATCAGACTTTTTATATTTATAGTCAGCCATCTATACTTGTTTCTGCAATCTGTCCCCCACACCCCTCCTCGCATCTCCTGGCTGATTCCTGGCTGTCCTGCAGGTCTGGAAGAGCCCTTCTCTTGCCTTCCAGCTACCAGCTCAGGAGTCCCACCTCCACCTTTAGTAAGGCAGTTCCTTACCCCTCTCCTTTCACTGTGGGAAAGTCAGCTCCAGCTTCTGTCTCTGCCCTCATCCCAGATCAATAGAGGGGGAGGTCAGCATGACCTCCGACTTGGATCCGTCCTCCTGACTTCTGCTATGCCCTATCCTTCATCACTTCCTTGTTCATTTCATTCTTGCCTGGGCCATTGCCCCAGCCTTCTGAACGTCTCCCTGCTCCAGGCTCTTCCCTCCCATTTGTCCTGCTATAAGGAACTTCCCAGATTAATGATCCTAAGCACAGTGCTGAGGTCACCCTTGTGCTGGCAACTTCCCAATTCAGGACAGAGTAGGGCTGGATCCTTTGGAGGCCCCTTGATTACTTCTCCAACTCTTCCTTCCTCAGGCCAGTTTCCCTACTGTTTTCTCCAAATCTGTTCTGCAAATTTTCTCTGTACAGAATCTGCTTGCTCCCCTCTTTAGTTCACAGCGGGGCATTTACTACCTCTCATGACTGTGATACAGTGCTTTATCATTTATAAGCACTCTCAAAAACTATTTACGGACCTCCTCTCATGTGCCTGGACCGAGGTTAGCCCTGGAAATACAATGAGTAAAAACAGATGTGGCTGTGCTTTCATAAACCAAGTCAACATAACCTGTTGAAGACCTTGGTCCCAAAGTTCTCTGACCCACAATCAAGTGAATTTGGGAGGGAAGATATTTTCCTGCTGTTCCTTTTGCCTGCCCCACCCCCAGTGGAAATCTGGCCTCCCTGGAGCCACGGGGACAAAGAATAAGACTGTGTCTTGCAGAAGAGGACTTTGCCAACCACATGAGCATCACAGGGGCAGCTGTTGGGATGTTGCAAGCCCAATAAAAGGGGCCATTAAACTTCTACAAAGCTAAGCAGAAGTTAACACTTGTATGTATTGCAACATCTTTATTTCCTTCCTGTAACTAACACAGCCACAGTGAGGAGCATGTACATGTGTGAGCCCAGGCTAACTGCTTTGGTTTCAGAGCCTCAGTTTCCTCACTTGTAATAGGTGGTGAAAAATCTCTGATATTTTCATGGGGTTGTTAAAATAATCAAACAAGGAGCACCTGGGTGGCTTGGTTGGTTGAGTGCCCCCAACTCTTGGTTTCGGCTCAGGTCATGATCTCAGGGCTGTGAGATAGAGCCCCTCCTCGGGCTCTGTGCTTGGGGAGTTGGCTTGGGATTCTCTCTCTCCCTCTGCCCCTCCCACCCCTTTCAAAAATAAATAAATGAAATCTTTAAAAAAATAATCAAACAAGATAAAAGTACACGGAAGAGCTTTAGAGAACTATAATGGACAGCACTGTTAACAGTTCAGAAATAACAGAAGTAAAACCAATGAATCACTGAAGTAGTAATTAATACAAGTTTACTGCGCGCACACGAAAAGGACGGTTTGCAAATCAGGAGCACTCAAGCCAAAACATGGAATGAGGCTCAGAGATAATATCGTTATAAAACAGCTTATTTAGTGACAAGACCGTGACTGTTTATTCTTTACTGCGATTGGTTATTGTGGTGTCTAAATGGGGTATCTCTCAATCAGATGGCGGGCGAGGATCCGGTGGAAGCTGGTTGGGAGGGACGTGAAGGAATTCACCCGTGGCAGATATTGAATACACCGCAAGGGAGAGGTGGCAGGACAGCAGAGGAGAGGCTGTCTGCAATGAGGCAGTGAGTTGGGGCTGTTTTTAAAGAGGGAAGGTGAAGAGGTATAGCAACATATGGAATTCTCCCCTTTTTGGTAACTGTGCCTGGTTTTAAGTAGCTCATCGGTCAGTTAGGGCCTACGGTCAGCCTGTCTGTATTCAGCCAAGTGGTTGCTATGGGCCCTTTCTTCATACCATTGCTCAAGCCCGTTTGCCTAAAAGCAGCCTGTACAGTTACAGATTTAAAATTTTCTTAAATGATAGGGAATTGGTCAGTGGTTACCTCTAATGAACCTTGGGAAGCAGTTCAAGTTGTGCTTATGATTTCTAGAGGCCTAAGCGGCAAATAACCCAGGTCGTTAGTCTTGCAAAAGAAGCTAAATTAAGCCTTGTGTGTATGACTAGACTGATTTTGTCCATTCAGGGAGTTTTCAAGGCTGCTCTGTTACCTTATTTTGCAATCCTGTATTTTACAATCTCAAGTGTGCTAGCCACATTTCAAGTGTTTAGTAGTCCCATGTGGCTACTGTGCTGGAGAGCACACGGTCTTTAGTAACGTAAGTAAAAATTAGTTACCATCTGTGTAGTACTTTAAGGTTTCCAAAATTCTTATGATATTTAAATCTTGTGTTAGTCTGGGTAGGTGGACGTTTATCGTTTCCATTTTGTAGATGAGAAGCAGCCACAGCAGCGACTGTGTATAATTCACCCAAGGTCCTCGGCTAGTAAAGCTAGTAAATGGTGCACTCAGTCCTTGTCTTTGAATCTGGGCACTTTCTCTTTTGCTTCCTTTTCTAAACAAGCAGTACAAAGGGAACCTATCATACATACAGGTCCCAGGGCTCACTGCCCTAGTGTGCAAAAAGGCACAGTCCTTTCAAAATCCACCTACAATCGTCTCTCTAAAAATCCTGCCCAGTTTAAGCCCACCAGAATTTATAAGTCCCATTATTCTAAAAACGTGTGTTGGATTAAGCGCCTTCCAGCTCAGATGTTTTGCAGATGTAAATGACACAGGTGGGCATTAAAAAAAAAAAAAAATCCTGCCTCTCTCTCTGATATTTTCTATGACTGTAGTGATTTACTTTTCAACTACTCCTGAGGGTTACATTGTAGTGTTTCAGCGTCCCAAATAAGTAAGTCATGTGATAAAGACTCCTCTCTTCCAGTCTAAAAGAGCACATATATGCCAAAGGTTCACACCAAAACATAACCAGACCCAACTGGCTATCAGGGAAAGAAGGTACTAGTGCAGGGTGTCTCTAAAGTAAGACAGAAGGTACCTCCAGGGATGGGGAGCGGGCAGAGCAGGGACCAGGCCAGTTTGAGAACTGCCCTGTGAAGGACTCGTCCCTAAGGCTGAAGTTCCTGAAGAGATGCCAAGGGCAGCTGACCTCACTCCTGGCCTGACAAGCTGCCCCACCGTGGGCCCGGAACAGCCTGGAGCAACCCACGGAGGCTCACAGGAGCCCCCGCCTGGTTCCGGACCGTGGCTAGTATTTACCCCCCTTCTCGCTCCCTTTCCCTTTTCCCAATCCCATGGAAGTAAGCAGAGTGGGAATGGTGGCTGGAGGGCAACAAAAGGTTTCTAGTCTATGTCCCCGCGGATACCCCGCACAAAGAATTGAACTGAGCGGGTGCTAAAAGCTGACCGCCCCCTTCTCTGGTTGCAAGGACAGCCTCCAGGGCTTTTCTCCTTTCCCTGCCCAATTCTAGTTACTGCTGATTACCCATACTCGGCACAAGTGCAGCGCGAAGTCTGCGTGTGTTTGTGTACACAGAAGTATGACTTTTGCTATGGCCAGGCAGCTGCTGGGTTGGGCAGTCTAATTTTTTAAAAAGATTTTATTTGACAGAGCACAAGCAGGAGAAGCGGGAGGGAGAGGGAGAAGCTAGCTCCCCACCGAGCAAGGAACCCGGGGAGCATGACCTGAGGCGAAGGCAGACGCTTAACCTATGGAGCCGCCCAGGCGGCCGGCACAGCCTCATTTTTGAGGTGCCCCCCCAATACCCTTGCACCGGCTGCCCGGGGCCGCCTCTCCGCGCCGGTCACCCTCAGTCTACGTGGCTCATAAGCAGTGCGCACGCGGGGGGCGGAGCTGTCAGCCACTTCCGGGCGCTGGGGGGTGTGGGCAGGGCAGGAAATTGTCCAGTGGGTGGGAGCCGACACCTGTTTCTGGCTGCTCCGCTTGGGCTCCGGTATCCGTCTCCGGAGGAAGGGTCCAGGAGGCGGATAGGCGTCCGGCCGGAGTCCGCAGGAGCCGCTGCGGACCGCGCTCGCCCAGCCCGGGAGTCTCGCCCAGCCCGGGCCTGGGGCTAGCGGCGCCCCGCCCCGCGCACACGCTGTCGCGAGTCAGCTGGACGGCGCGGGCGTTCACGTGACCGGGGGGGGCGGTGCCGAGCGGGCGGGAGAAAAGGAAACTGCGGGATCTGCGGCGGCGGCAGCACGGCCATGGCCGCACTGTACGGGGGTGTGGAGGGGTGAGTGTGGCTCAGCGGAGGGAACCAGGGAGGGGCGGCTTGGAAGCGGCAGGAGGGCGAAAGCAAGGAAGCCTATGGCCAGGCTGGCAGGCTGGTGACCTCCCACCTTAGGGGCCGGCCGCTTTGGGCTTCTGAGCTGCAGGGTCTTGCGGAGGAGGGGTGTGTGCACGCGCGGCAGTGCCCTAGCGCTTGCGGGGACTCTGCGTGTGCACGGCCACACCCGGGGCGGGGGGTCTTTTATGTTTCACGGCGGAACCACACCCCTCTCTCCCACGAACGACCCACTCCACCGTCCCCCGCTAGATCAAGAAGCTCCTCTTCCTCATTCCGGATCCCGGAGAGAGTTCAGCTGAACAGGTGTCGGGTGTGAAGTTGCTGGACTCGGGGTGGGGAGTGGGAGTGTGGTGGAAGCCGGGGACAAAGACCTTTGCCAGAGAGGATCTGGTAGCTAGAATAGCTGCCAGCCAAAGTGCTAGCCTGTGCTGATGCCTGGACACCCCCGTTCTTGTCAGCATTCCAGATCGAACCCTCTGTCATTCTCTGTCACATCTGGCCATAAGAGAGGGTGGCTTTTGTCACAGCCCAGGCACTTACTTTTGAATCTGAGATTGGGATTACTTGTGTGCTGCGCTGACTCACAGACCCCCATGTCTTTTTTCTTTTGTTAAGGTTGATCTCCCCCATCCTGTGTCTATTGCACTTTTTAAAAATCAGTACAGGAGCTTGCGCTCATCCCTGTTATATTCATGTGTAAGATATGACCTATTTTTCTAGGTTGTCGAGATGCTTACGGACATTGAATCTGTTGCCTCGTGCATTAACTACCCCTTGAAACGTCTTGTCATCTTTGAGTTTGATCAGCAGGTCTTTAGTGTCCTCTTTTGATATTCCCAAGAGTTCTGATCAATGAAGAAACATACATCACACACCACAGACCTCCCTCCAAACTACCATTTCCCCCACTAATAAGCATTTCACCATTTGGTTGCTTAAGTAGGTATAAACTCTGTCTGCCCTCTGGTCAGTGTTTCTCCCAAGGGTGTCTTGAAGAACTTGGTAGCTGGAGCTGGATCTTGAAAGGCAGCCTTTAGCTATTGCGAAAGAAGCAGAGACATGTGCCACTCCCTTTAGTCACATTTACTGCGTGTTGGCCCGTGCCAGGCATGAGGATGGATAAAGGATCGGGAGCTTGTAGTGCAGTGAGAGGCAGACAGAAAAACAAACACTCTTACCAGAATCTTTCCGAGTTGTGGGGGCACTGATGTGGTTTAACTAATGGAGCTGTGGCGGTAGGCCATGCGTCAGGGGTTTCAAGGGCTAGGTGATAGAGAAGTAGGGTCTTGCAAGGTAAGTAGGACATCCCCGAGGGAAGCTGAGCAGTAGCAACATTTCAGTCCGGTAGCACATCAAACCAGACCGCAGAAGTGGGCTTGGGAATGGGAATTGGGTTTGCCAGAGCTGTCACCATGGCCCTGGGCTCTGCTTGTGACAAGGACTGCACAAGCTTAGCTGTCCCTGCAGGTTTGTCTGAGCAAGGCTGAGTGCCCCCTTGTGTTCTGTAGGGGAGGCTCACGGTCCAAGGTCCTTTTACTCTCAGAGGATGGGCAGATCCTGGCAGAAGCAGATGGACTCAGCACAAACCACTGGGTAAAGACCCCACTGAGGGACCAGTGGGTTTGGTTGTGGTTTTATTCTCTGTAACTCCCATTAAGATGGTGGCTGGGTCCGAGTATAGCAGCCTTTTGGGGCAACACAGGTCATGCAAGCCTGTGTAATTCCTCCTTCCCTTGATTGGGGCCAGCTAATCGGGACAGACAAGTGTGTGGAGAGGATCAACGAGATGGTGAACAGGGCCAAACTGGAAGCAGGGGTGGATCCTCTGATCCCTCTACGAAGCTTGGTGAGTCTGGGGTAGAGCCTGGGAATTAAGGCGCAGAAACACAGACAGCCATTTTGACTAGAGGAGTCTGATGACTGCAGAGTGAAAGGCCTTGGGGGCTTAGTCTCTGGTCTAGAAACATATATTCTCACCGATTCTAATGGCTTCAGTTGTCACCTACAAGCCACAAGGATGGGAAGAGCCCAGGGCTTTGGAGAGCCCTTGAGACCCTGGTTTGAATCCCAGTTTTGTCACTCAACATCTGCGAGACCCTTAGCAGGCTACTTAACTCCTCTAAGCCTCTGTCTCATTTGGGAAATGCAAGTAACGGTAGCTACCTCAATTGTTGGGAAAGAATAATGACGTGGTACATCCCAAAGTGCGTAGCGTAGAGCCTGACCTATAAGCACTTGTTAAACGTCAGCTGTGAGTCTCTGCTCAGACGTTTCTCTCAAGCTGCTGTAGCTCCGACTACCCCTGGCCGTAGCCTCAGTGAGAGGTTCTGCAGGCACAGGGAAGCCCCCTGTATTCCACACCAAGCCCACCTCCTCCGCTTGCTCTTCTGCCTGACTTTTCCGTTGAGGGCACTGCTGACCCTCCCACCCTCCAAACCTGGCATTATTGAATCCCCTCTCTGGGTTCATTCCCAGACCAGGTTCTTCTCGCAGCCAGCAGCCTCCTGGTGGGTCATTGGGTGGCGCGGAAGGAGGACTGGGGCTGGATAAGCAGGCTATGCCCAGATGTGGAGGGAAGGGCTGGAGAAAGGAGCTGGGTCTGGGGCCCTGCCCACTCGCTCACATCCCACGCGGCCTAGGGCCTGTCCCTGAGCGGTGGGGTGCAGGAGGACACACTGAGGATCCTGACGGAGTTGCTGAGGGACCGATTTCCCCACCTGAGTGAAAGCTACTTAATCACCACCGACGCCGTGGGCTCCATCGCCACAGCAACACAGGATGGTGAGGAGGAGGAGGGCAGGGTGTGGTTGAGAACTGGTTTTCTTGGGAAAGCCCTTTAGTTACAGCTGGCAGAACTTGTCTCGAAATATCTGGAAGGCAGCCTCCAGCATACCCCGCCCCCTTCTCCCTGCTCTTTTTATTGGCTTAAGTCCCTGCCAGAGCAAGGACCAGACAGAAGGTGCGAGGGCAGAACGGTATCTCGGTCAGACCTGAGCCTCCACTCCAGAGGCCATGCAGTGAGGAGGCTGCCTGGGAGAGCAGTTGAGGGCTAAGAAGAAGACGGGTAGAGCTCTGTGCTAGTGGAAAAGGCCTTCGTATCCTGAGATTGGCATTTGAATCTCCGCTCCTATTTTGTCAGCAGTACCGTCTTGGAGAAGTTATGGAACTCTTGAGTTTCAATTCTCTCCTCTATAAAATGGAGGCAGTCATAGTCACAAAGGTGGTTTAGGATGTTGAATGAGTATCACTGTGTGAACAGGGTCTAGCACAATCCCTGGCTCATAATAGGTACGCAGTAAGGCAGGTAGTCACTTAGGTGGGCAAGGAGGCAGGCTTGTGTTCCTCTTCGTCTCCTAGAGAAGGGCTCTGTGTAGATTGGAGCTTCTTTGAGACGCAGGCCCTCCACTTTCAGGCGGGAAACTAGCTAGGCTCAGTTTTCTCTACAAGATGGGGTGGTGATCCCGGGGCTGGTTTCCATCCTCTTTACTCAGTCAGAAGCTGTGTGCTCCGTGCAGGGCCTTGGCCACACTGAGCCTCTGTGCCCTTTCCCCAGGTGGGATCGTGCTCATCTCTGGGACAGGTTCCAACTGCAGGCTCATCAACCCCGACGGCTCTGAGAGCGGCTGTGGCGGCTGGGGCCACATGATGGGGGACGAGGGCTCAGGTGAGTTCATGGCAGCTGGGCCTGGCTCTGAGGCTTAGGGCCCTGGACCCTTCCCTTCCTGCCGCTCCCCATCTTCCTCTCCGCTGCCCTTGGCCACCAACCCCTTGGGGCTCTCTGGGACAGCTCCTGAAAAGTTGCTCTGCGTCCAGGATAATGGCTTAGAGAACACAGGGTGCAGATGACGGACTAGTGGCTGCCCTTGGTCTCTGCAGCAGTGATTCGGATCCAGCTTCAGACTCACGCCTCAGCGTAATAGTTGTTGCCCACCTGTGTTGACTTTTGGAGTCCTTGGGGAGGAATTGACACTGTGAAGGTTACGGCCGTAGATGCCAGTCTGCTAATAGGAAAGGGGTATAGAAACTCCTCCTGCGTGACCTCTTTATAGGTAGCAGGTACACCTTTTCATAGGGGCCTTGGGGGCCAGCTCATGGCAGTGACCACAGTGGTCTTTGTCACAGCTGACTGACCTTGTCTTTATTTGTAGGTAGGAGCTGGCGTGACCCAGCCTCACCTCTTGTCTCCCCCCTAGCTTTCCCTCTGTGGGTTGTCAGATACAGTCGAAATCGGGGCACCTAATTTGCTGTAATACCGAAGCTGGTCATTAACCTGTGAACTCAGGGAGACTACCCCATCTTCTTAGCCCCCTCTGCCCTCCACAGCCTACTGGATCGCACACCGAGCAGTGAAAACAGTGTTCGACTCTATTGACAACCTAGAGGCGGCTCCTCATGACATTGGCTACATCAAACAGGCGATGTTCAGCTACTTCCAGGTACTTCCCCTGCCTCTGGTAAACATGCCCACCTGGGATGGGGCAGTGGGATACTGAGCAGCAGTGAATGTAGGAGAAGAACTGGGTGAGCCGAAGGGAAGGCAGGGTGAATGTGGGTCAGAGCTGGAGGATGGAGAAGTTCCAGGTGAGGATAGGATTCGTAATGATGGGGGTGATACATACCAAGAGGATGTCAGGCGTGAGGAGTGGGCAGGCTGGGGACAGGTGGTTAGCTAGAATTCATTCTTGGGCAGCTAGGCCCTGCTGGGAGATGAAGGTAGATGCCATTTCAGGCTGGAGTGAGAAGTGCGGGGTGAGATCAGGAGGTGGTGTACTCAGAGACAGCAGGGGAAGGTTGAACAGGTGTGTCAATGAGCTGCTTCTGGCCTGCATGGGTCAGGGAGGAGAGCCTGTGACAGAGGTGGGGACGGTGGGCGCCTGGGTGGCTCAGTTAAGTGTCTGCCTTTGGCTCAGGTCATGATCCCAGGGTTCTGGGATCGAGCCCCTGCATCGGGCTCCCTGCTCCGCGGGAAGCCTGCTTCTCTCTCTGCCCCTTTCCCCCACTCGTGCTCTCTCTCTCTCTGTCTGAAATAAATAAAATCTTTTAATTAAAAAAAAAAGAGGTGGGCAGGGAGAGTTCTTGGGGGAGGTATAACCTCCTACCCAGGGTTGTCCTCTGTCTGGGCCATGCTTATTTGTAGTGGACTAGGAAGCAGCTGTTTTTAGCTGAACCCGAGGTAAAAGGGGAGAGGAGAAGGAAGATAAGTCTATTCGATAGACCTCTCTGCATGGGAGCCACTGACATGAGCTGGGGACGGGCTCAAGGAAGGAGATTAGAGATGCTGGAAGGTAGGACCTGTATTTTCAAGGTTCGGGGATTAATTGATTACAGAGAAACTCTGGCCAGGGCCAAGGTGAGGAAGCGGGAGGGACCAGGAAGAGAAATCACTTTCGATAGCGGCTGCTGTGGAAGGTGCAGTTAAGCTACCCTGACCCAACAGATTGGTTCTAAACCCCGCTAGTAGGTCTACCACACCCTCTTTTAGCCTTTAGTCATTCTCACAAAGTCACTACAAGGATTAAATGCGATCGTGTGTGGAACATGCTTACTGTATGGCTGTAGGTGCTCACATTGTAGCCTCCCTTCTCCCATTTTAGTGTGTACTCTGGGGAAGCGCCCATCCCTCAGTTCCTGCAGAGGCCGTTTGTTAGGGTGAGAGAAGGAACTTCTATGGTCAGAGGAGTTTGGGAGAAATGAATAGATTTCTGAAATAAATTTACACAGGGCCTTTAATTTGCTAGTTCACACTGTGACCCTGAGAGCCGCAATGTGCAGTAGTCCTTAGATTCTTTTTGCCAAAGAAATCTTTTCAGGAGCACCTCAAAGAACTGCAGAACGGGGCGCCTGGGTGGCTCAGTTGGTTAAGCGACTGCCTTCGGCTCAGGTCATGATCCTGGAGTCCCGGGATCGAGTCCCGCATCGGGCTCCCTGCTTGGCAGGGAGTCTGCTTCTCCCTCTGACCCTCCTCCCTCTCATGCTCTCTGTATCTCATTCTCTCTCTCTCAAATAAATAAATAAAATCTTTAAAAAAAAAAGAACTGCAGAACGCACTTTGGTGCATATAGATCTGTGCTCTGTGCTGTGTGTATCCAAGCTAATCTGTAAGGAGTGATGGAATCCATGTGGGGAAAATAAAGAACTTCCCTCAAATGAGAAGTCTCAAATCCTTGTGTTCTCTAGAACTTAAAAAAACAAACATTATTCCAGCTTTTCAAACAGAGACATCAGGAAGATCAACTTGGGTGGGCAGACTGCACATTTTCCTTTGCTTCTGATAACTGTGCACTTTCTGTCTCTCAGGTGCCCGATCGGCTAGGAATCCTCACCCACCTGTATAGGGACTTTGATAAATGCCAGTTTGCTGGGTTTTGCCAGAAAATTGCAGAAGGTACGGCGGGGCGGGGGGAGAGGGCAGGGTTTTATTTGGTTTTGTTCCCCCCAAAGACTTCCCTGATTGGGGGATGGAGTGGGGTTCATATGGGAACTGGAAGCTAATTTCCCTTTGACCAAGTGACTTCAGTTCTTTGTACCTTGGGACTGGTAGGCCTTGGGCAGGGGCCAGAAGGACATGTGAGTTGTATTGACAATTGCTTCCTATTATCTATGTTTCTCTTCTTGACAGTTGTCGTGGCTCGTGCAGGCTATATGTCTGTTTCTGAGAAATTTCTGAAGCAATTGTCCTTTGGGCAAATCTGTAATTAAAAAAGATAAAAAAACAAACTAATGATACCGGAAGAGCTAGGAGATCATAGAGAGGTTCGGCATGGTGGGTTGGGGGTCAGGAGAAGCTAAACCGTAGGGCTTGCTTGTCTGCACAGTGCTGTTTCTCCACTATAAGGTTCATACTCCCTTCGTTTGGAGGCCCCTCTTAGATCTTGCTGGACTGAGGCCCTTTCAGAGCAGAGCTAGGGAGGGGCGGACGGACAGCAGACTGTTGGTTGGGGGGTGGGGCAGGAGCACCCGCCAGCTGCTCAAGTAGGGTCCCCAGAGTTGGGAGACCTTCAGGAACAGACTCGGTCACCCCGTGTAAGCTGGAGTACAGACCAGATGCCACTGTGCTTCTCTAGTGGGGACGGCCGCTCTCCTGCGCCTGGAGTGAGCCACCTCGGCACAGGACATCCCTCCTCAGCCGGGAGTACCTGGTGGGAGTGGGGCAGTAAGGATGAGAGACCGCTTTGGGGGCTTGAGGTGGGCATCCATTCCTAATTTGGACCTTTCCTAGCTATAGGTGCTCCTCCTGTTTCTACTCTGCAACAGAGGACAGGCAGCTCCCTAGGTACTCACCAACTACCCTCCCCCCACCCCACAGGTGCCCAGCAGGGAGATGCCCTCTCCCGGTTTATCTTCAGGAAGGCTGGGGAGATGCTGGGCAGACACGTGGTGGCAGTGTTGCCTGAGATTGACCCGGTGAGTCGAGGTGGGAAAGGAAACCTGGATGCTGCTGGGCCAGATTTGGCTCTTTCCCCTCAGGGATGAGACTCTCCCATCAAACTCTGTAAAGGGGGCACAGTTTTAAATGAACTTAGGGTGTGAGAAAAACTCTGTATAAAGTCTCTAACACAGAAAAGTTCTTGGGTCCAGTGCCTCGCCTCTGTGGCTGGCCCGCAGCCTGTATTTATATAGAGTAAATTGCTTTAACATTGTACATGTTTCCGTCCACTTCCTCCCTTCTCTTTCCTTCCTCTGTATTGTTGCTTCACCCTTTTTCCTTTCCGTTCTCTCCCTTGGCTTTATGATTCTCCCTTTTCTTCAATCTACCTTGGCTAGAGGGAGAGTAACAGGGATCGGGTGGGCTGGTCTTAAGAAAGTACCTACTCCAGCGCTGGAGAGGTTTGGTCGCCCCCAGTGTCCACTTCTGCTCTCCGCCAGGTCTTGTTCCAGGGGAAGATGGGCCTCCCCATCCTGTGTGTGGGCTCTGTGTGGAAGAGCTGGGAGCTGCTGAGGGAAGGTGAGCCTGGGGTGGGCGGTGGAGGGGGGGTACCCGGGAAAGCTGCCTGCCCCGGGGAAGACTTGGGACCTGGGCCCTGAGGCCTAGACAGGCCACAGCCCTCTGCCTTCAGTCTGCCAGGGAACCCTTTTACTGTGTCTCACTCAGCTTCCTTGAACTCTTAAAAAGATACTCTTTTTCAAGAATTTATTAGCTATGCACCACTTCTTAAAAATTGGAGAAAGAACTCCGTTGAAATGAGAGCTTCTCACCTGCATGTGGTGACATCTCTAGTCAACACAGTTGCAGCCAGAAGGAGAAAAGGTGTCTTCTTTGCCCTTGCAGCGTTGGTTCAGGTAGCTGTGTGCTATCATTAGCCATCCTAAAGTAGTTGGAGGGCCCCACTGCTTCCTTGGAGGTCCTGGCATTGGGTGCCCGGTGGCTGCAGGCTCCAGTACCCCACAGCCCTTTCTGGGCTCATGTCCCGGTGCCCTTCCTGTTAGGGAGTTGGCAGGACCTGCACAGGAATGCCTCAGGGCTTGGGCCTCTCCTTTACCTCCCTGTCTTTGTCCACCTTCTCCTGGTCTCGACCACAGGGTGCTGGTCTACTCTCACCTCCGCCCTCTGCCCTCTTTCCCTTCAGGTTTCCTTCTGGCGCTGACCCAGGGCCGAGAGCTGCAGGCCCAGAACTCCTTCTCCAGCTTCACCCTGATGAAGCTGCGACACTCCTCTGCCCTGGGTGGGGCCAGCCTCGGGGCCAGGCACATCGGGCACCTCCTCCCCATGGACTACTCTGCCAATGCCGTTGCCTTCTACTCCTACACCTTCTCCTAAGGGGCTGGCCCTGGCTCCACCCCTCCAAGCCCAGTGGACACTGGGTGCCGGAAAGGAGGCTTTTTTCCTTTTTTTAAAGAAAAACACATCTAAAAGAGAATAAATGCACTTTACCCACTCCCCAATTAGATCGTGTTACCAAGCACACTTGCTGTGTAGATCCTCAGTGCACCTGCCAGCAGGTATCCCAGAGAGCTCAGGAATGGCTGTAGTCTAGGATTTAAAGCCCCGTGCCCAGGTGCTTGGCCTGTGGTTTGCAATCTGCTCACCATACAGTTTGGCAGATAATTCATGTGTGCTATCCCTCCCCATGCCCCCCAACATTAGCATACTTAAATGCCGTGCTCTGCCAGGTAACTGTGATCTCCGTTTCTCCTGTCCAAGTGAGTAATGATTCCTACCCAGCCATTTGTGCTGGAACTAAGTGTTCTCTGTGGCCGTAACCTCAGACACTTAACACCCTCTCCTGATAGTCCCAGTAGGATTTAGGAGATGGTACCATTCTGGTCTGGGAGAACTACCTCACTGGATTTGGTACTTAGAGGTAAACAGCACATTTTGCAGTTTTTCCCCTATGAAAGAGTTCTTGAGAGGTTATGAAGATGGCTGAGATCTAAGAAGGCCAATTAGACACAAGGTGGCCTACTTACTCCTCGTGACTTCTAGCCTGGCTCTGGTTATAATATGACATTTTGCATTTGTTGTGTGACACGAATGATGAACATCAGTGAAGAGCAAACATGATTCCTGTCCTCTGGATACTGTTAGTTTAATCAAGCCCAAAGCTTCCTGTTGGGCGGCGCATGGTGCTTGGTGAACTGAAGACAGATCTTGATCCCCAGTGGCTGCCTCTACGGGCGTTCAGAGTGAAAGCTGTTAGAAGGCATGGAACATGTGCGTCAGTCATTCGAGATCTTGTTTTCAACTAAGATTTTTGTCTTCCTCCTCCATGAGGTGTCTGATTCAGTAGGTCAAGGAAGAGGTGGGAATGTTCATTCCTACCAAATACCTTGGGTGATTTGTGCTGCAGAGGTCCAGGATCTGCACTTGAGAGAGCTCTACCCTATAGCTTTTGAGTGCTGATTAAGCCCTTGAAGAGGTCTTGGATACTTGTTTCTCAGGTCAAGTGACACTGCTTTCACAGTGTAGAACAGAGTGGCAGTGGCTCTCCTCCCATCGCCCTAGCCCAACACAAGCCGGGGTTTTGAGCAATAAGAACTCAAGCCAAATTCCTTCTGAGGAGACAGGCAGCCATCTTCACATCTCCTGTGGTCTAAACCACTAGGAGCCAGCTTTCAGCAAGTCCCATACATCTGATAAAAAGCTTGCAAAGAGGAGAAAGAGAGGAGGTGTCTTTGCTATATCTCACAGTTCAAAGAACACTTACTAATGTGCAGGGAGCTTTGGAGTTGTGTGTATATGTGTGTTTTTAAGATTGATTTATTTTAGCGCACGAGCAGGAGGGGCAGAGGGAGAGAGAATCTCAAGCAGACTTCATGCTGAGCTCAGGGCCCGATGTGGGGCTTGGTCTCATGACCCTGAGATCACAACCTGAGCCAAAACCAAGAGTTGGGCACCTAACACGACTGTGCCACCCAGGCACCCCTGGAGAAGTTTTTTACATGCTCTTGGGACCAGGAACAAGCAGTATTTTGGATTTAGAATCTAGACTCTCACTGGTGGAGAGTTTATATTCTTCAAGAATATGGCCATCTCTCTTCGTTAAACCGTTGTCTAGGCTCTACTATTCCAGTGGGAGAGCCAAGCAAGGAGCACATCTTGACTAATTTTGTTAGTCTTAGTACATAAATATTGAATAAATGTTAGTTGAAAAAAATAAAGCCAGTGGGCGTCTGGGTGACTCGGTTGGGAGTCCCAACTTGTGATTTCGGTTCAGGTCATGATCCCAGGGTTATGGGAGTGAGCCCTGCATCCGGGCTTCACGCTCAGCTGGGAGTCAGCCTGGGATTCTCTCTCTCCCTCTGCCCCTCCCCCATATTGTATGCACGCTCTTTCTCTCTCATAATCTTAAAAAAAAAAAAGACAGTATTAAAGTGTATACAAGGTCCAATGTGTTCCTAGATCCTTTAGCCAGAGATGTGACGAAGTGCCTTATTTTCCAGTTAGTAAGGCTCTGTTACCAGAGGTTGCAGGGCAGAAAGTCATAAATCATTTTTGATGAGTTTCCCCCCCTTTCATTTAAACTTGCAATCTCCTTCCTTAATAACAGGAGCAATTAATAGGATTCCATACTATCAAGGCCTTGGAGATGAGCCTGTAACAGCCTTGTGACAAGGCAAGAGCTTAGAACAAGAACTGGACTCAAATGAAGCCAATGCTGCTTTAACCTACCTGTGCGATTTCATGACCGGCACAGCCTCCTCTGTCACGTTCATTCAGCAAACCCTGAATGTCTTATGGCTGGCTGATGGGTGCTCTGAGGATTAAAAATGAGTACACCCTTACCCCTTATACCAACTGAGAAGTTGTTAAGAATTTATGGAACTGCATGTTTACAGTATCTGCTTTTCTGTAATGTATTCTACTTCAAGTAAGTTTAATGAAATGTTTTAAATGAATGAATATAACATTCACGTCTTCAAGGATGTGAATAGCTCAGGCCCTGTATATACATAACTATAGTATCTCAGGAAGCTATACACAGGCAAGTCTGCTCAGATCTTCTTCCCACCCCCCCACCCCCACCCCAGTTTTAGGAAGGCAACAAAGAAATAACTGCACTCAAAACCCAGAGGCCATGGTCTGGTCCCATGATCTTTTGCCACATGATACAGCCCCTCGGAGAATCACTGGGAGGTTCAAGCTAGGTGTAAACTGAATAACTGTGAATTACCAAACACCCCCACAACAGAACGGACGATGTCTGCTTGTTAACCCACTAGCCCGGGTACCTAGAACAGACTGGTCCCTAGCAGGCTCTCAAACTTGAGTAGTTGAAAGGCAGATTCAGAACCTTTACTTGTTTTCTAGATCGGAGTCAGCTTTCCCCTGAGGCAGGAAGATAACAGCTATCCAATTTCCTTTTCAGTCCAAGGATTTCCTGTTAACCACCTTTGTTCAAAGCTATACACATTACTGTGCACATTTCTGCCTCTATGTATTAAGCACCTTCCCTGTGCCAGGCAGTATTTTGAAATTAAATTCAGTCTAATTTTCACAGCAGTCCTAGGAGGGAGGTGTCGCGTCTTTATAAAGTGATGCGCAGGCTGGAGGCACTAAAAGTGCTGGAGGTGGGATTCACTCAGGTCTGCGACTTCCAAATCCAATGCTTTTGCTACTTTGTAACAGTATTTAGAATGCAAGATGATGCAGCTGAAACCATGGTCCATCTTAAGACAGAAATCTCACAAGGGGCACCTGGGTGGCCCAGTTGGTTAAGTGTCTCTTGCTTTTGGCTCAGGTCATGATCTCTGGGTTGTGAGATCAAGCCCTGTGTTGGGCTCTGCGCTCAGCAGGGAGTCTGCTTGAGATTCTCTCTCCCTCTCTCCCTCTGCCCCCCCCAAATAAATAAATCATTTTTTTTTCTCTCTCACAAATACACACCACACATACATTCCCTGTACGATGATATATAATCACCCAGCCTTAGGAAAAACAGTATGACTGCCGGCAAGTAAATGCATTTTATTCTCGTTTTATTGAGATTTTTCCACAGCTGCCATTTGGTTTGTATAGCAAAATTTTTAAAAAGTAACTTTTTCCCCATTTTTGATATTTTTATGAAAATCATTTTCTTCGATTTTAAAGCCCTGCCCCTCCCCCAAAGACATATTAATAACTACCACATAATGTGTACTTAGAGGAGAGAAAAGGAACAAAAACAGCTCTTAAACACTTGTGAAACAGGGATCAAAGGCGAAAGTCAAGACGTAGGCCCGCTGGAGGTGCGAAGCTGCTGCGGGGCACCCATCCGCACTCTGCTATCCACACCAGCGAACGGGTAAGCCACGCACAGACCCCCGGGGGCTTCTCGTTCCTCAGGCTGCACTCCTTTTCTCCTCTCGACCGCCTCTGCTGGCTGTCGTTCGCTCCAGATCCATCCAACAAAGGCAGCACAATCTTTAATACACATTCAGCTTTGTAACGGAGACAATACTGTATTCAAAGTTCGGCGATTCCCCTCCATCCAGTTCGGGAGGATAAAATATCCAACAGAGTACAGATGGTTTTGCTTTTGTGTCCACTCAAAACACATTCATTAAATTATCAGATGCTTCAAAAGTCCTGATGTGTAGACAGCACAAAAGTTCCTTATAAAAAAGTTGCAAAGTTATAAAAATTTCTGCAGCAGTTTAGGCTCCTCGTGTGGAGGTCCTGATGGCAAAGCTGGTTCTGATAAGCAGTTCACGTGCTACGCGCAGCAGCTTGCCCAGGAGTCCTGTGCTCCGAGGGTTCTATTTAGACCACAGGAGGCTGAAATCTAAGTTTACAAGATTCCCTGCTGACAAAATGTGGCATATCCATCAATGGAATACTACTGGGTGCTCTAAAAGAACAAACTACCAACACAAGTTAGGCCTCATGGATGAAACTCAAAAATATGCTAAGGGAAAAAGCTAGCTACAAGAGACCACAGTTTGTAGGATTCCATTGATATGATGCCCAGAAAAGGCAAATTTGTAGAGACAGAAAGATAAGTGGTTGCCCAGAGCTGGGAACAGGATTATCATGTAAATGGACACGAAGGATCTCATGGGGTGGGATGGAAAACGCCTAAAACTGAGTATGGTTATGGCCTCACCATTCAGGAAACTTACTAAAATAACTGAAATGTACACTTGAAATGGGTGAATTTTATATGTAAAATATGCCTCAATAAAGTTGTTTAAAAAAAAAAATCCCTGCATTAAACATTTCTGAAGGCTCAATCAATAGGGCAGGATTATCACTTACTGTCGAGTTACACAGGAAAACACTGTACTATTTTCTAGTAAATAGCTTAGAGTTTCCCAATGCCCACCAGAACTGGGTCAGTCCTCCTGTTTTCTCCACTCATTTCCCAAACGAATGCATCATGTCCCGGGAGAGGGGCTGGAATACACAGTCTTCCCCAGTAGGTGGCCATCCCCAAATCTTGGTCAAATTTATGAGGTATGTGCTCGTCCCCATACCTAAACGTCACCTAAACCAAGAACCATTATTAACCTTGATGCTGGGACCCTTATCGAAGAACACCTGTCCTCTCTGATCACATCAGGGTCGATTCTGGGGCACCTGATGTTTCTACACGGGGTCTGCAGCCGCACTAACGAGAGGATTCAGTCCACGGTTTCCTTTAGCGCCTTCACACAACTTTCCTCTCTGACGTATAATTGCCAGAGTATTGTAATGGACCTCTTTACTCCCTAGCCTCTCCAAAATCAAGACAAAACTGACACTAGGACAATACACAATCTAAAAAATCCTGCTTAGTAGTTTACTAAAAGCATTTTTTTAAAGCCATAGTTAGCATTATAACCTTAGAGACTCCAGCTGTTTTGACTTTGAAAACTAAAGGTGCTGCAAAAGTCCAGCCCCTGCCTTACAATCTGTTTTGGTTTGACCATACTCGACCCCAGGAGTCTGCTGCCGCAGTCGGAACACGCAGAGCCCCACGGCTGCAGGTGCTCAGGCCTGCGCGGTAGCTGTCAAGTTCTCTGCTGTCGTTCAAAGACCTGGAGAAACTGAAAAGGCATTTCCTTGACTTGTTTTTTTTTCTTGAAGAGCCAAGAGATAAAATAATTTTCACCTCGGAGTTTTAGAGTCCAACAATCACAAAACTCAGAAACCAGTCACGGATGAGCTCACACCGGGCCCAGCCAGAACTGGCACTCGCTGCAAACACACACTCCATCACTGCTCTACACATTCTCAAGCTTCCAGCTGCCGATGGAACAAGTTTCAACAGAGTTAGTGGCTCAAATTCAACGTCAAAATACCAACTTATAAATACCTGCCTCGCCGGTCAAGGTGCAGGCGGGCATGCGCCCAGATCGGTTCCTACGAGGAAAGGAAAGTGGGGAAAAGACGGAGAAAAGAGCTGGGCTACGGAGAGAAACTGCAGCACAAGCCGACTCGCTAAGAACAGGGTCGTGCTGCTAGCCGCTTCCTGCTCCGGGAGTCCGCAGACTCTCGTGTCTGAATGGGACTGGAAAGTCCAGCCCTCAGGTTCCACTGCTCATCTGGCAGGAAGCTCTCTTACTCCCGACCAAATCTGCCTTGTGAAACGGTGCTGAAGTCCGACATCCAAAACGGAACCCCACAGCAGACAGACAAGCCCTTTGCACTGCTCCCAACATCTCAGCCATCCTGGTCAGGACAGCAAGCTTCTTCAGGATGAAGAAACGGCTCCATCCGGATCCCTACAGGACTTTCCAGACTGGGAGCCACACTAGAATCCATTGTTTCTTTCTGAGGGAGAAGCCCACGCTCTAGAAAATGGCTCTTTCTGCAGTCTCAATATATTGCCGGCAGCCTTCAGGACTCTGCGCTTGGACAAGGTAATGGAGACTGAAGGAGGAAACGGAGCCCTGGGGCACACAGACCTCTCTTTTCCTGCACTTCCAAGGCCCTCTCCCTATTAGAGGCAACGACCCCAGTTGAAAGCTGAAGCTGCAATAAAGAGGGTTCTTTATTCACAGCCGTCCCTGGAAACGAGTTAAGTGTTCCATTCTCTTGAGGTAGAGGCTTTGGGCCTTTGGGTATTAATGTGCACGCCTGGCAATACAAGCTCCTTACGCTACTCTCCTGACACGTGACCTAACGGGGAAGGCCATTCTTTAAATGATGCCATCCTATAGACTCAAATGAGGAAAAGATGTGGGTTCGTATTTTAAATCTGACATTAGCCTGTTGCTGTTCAGAAAGTCAACAAGGGGAGCACCTAAGAAAAGGTAGAAATTACTAAGCTTTCTAGACAACGGTCCTTTCCTTCCAACCTCTGTCCCATATCCACATACTGAATTTACACAGACTTTATTTCATTACGTGGCCTTTTCCTGATAGGCCTGTCACACAACACAGTAGCAGTCATACAGAAGCCGCTGTGTCCCCCTCAGGCCTCTGCAAGTCCTCATCCTAGGAGGATGGCCGGGACTACACACGTTCTCCTTTAGACCTGACTCTGCCACCTACATCTTTATCACACAAAGGCGCTTCTGGTGCCCAGTTTAATCCCTTATGAGTATCAACAAAAAAACCCCTGTGATTTATAGTCAGGAAAAACAAAAGGAATATACCCAAAGAGCCCAACCTAGAAAACTCGTAAAGCTGGGTATGTGGGAACAGCAAAATTTTATATGCTGAAACTATCCCGCTGGGTCACATGGTCACATGGGTCAAGCAAGACTCACTCTCCCAGGCTTTTTTTTTTTTTTTTGAGTTCTTTTGCATAAATCTGTAAGGTGGGGAGAAGCATCCAAATTGTGAGCTGAGCTTCTCGCTGGTGTCCTGAAAAATATGTTTATGTGAGAAAAATTATTGGGAATAATTTACTAAGGGAAGATACCAGGAGGACCAAGTCTTCATGGGGCTGGCAAAAAATTGCCAAAATACTCTTAAGACACAATTAACAGGATTCAAGTTTGACTACTCCAGACTGAAGCTGAGGGCCAGCACAGCATACCTCTCCTTCCCCTCTGGTAACAATATCTCTTCTTACCAACAGTAGGGTTGGGGTGGAAAGGAGATAGGGGACTAGATGCCATGAGGGACAAAGTGACAAACCCACCCTAGAGCTCTTTTACCTCGTAAATAATGAAAAATGAGTTTGATGGTAGCTGTAAGCAGAGACTTAAGAAAAGAGCAGCAGTGACTGAGTGACCCAAATGACAATCACTGGCACAGTCCTCCCCTGCTGGTTTACAACCTTCATTAACCATCAGAAGAATTACCATAAACCAGTCCTGAAGTCTGTGTTTTCTTGAATGGGGTTCCAGGCAAGGACACGTGGGCTTGGCGGGCCATGGTAATCTGCTTCATCACAGGAAAGCCCCGAGGGGTCAGGGGAGCTGGGCTGTGAACCCTGATTTGCAACACCTCCTTCTTCCATTCGTCCCTCTTGTCATCCAGCTTAACAGACTCGATAAATAGTTCTCCAAGTGTTCACTGCCCTTGGTAAGTGTACAGTAGGGTGAGAAGGGCATTCTTAAACACCCAGATTTTCTTGGTCAGCTTATTTTGTTTAAACACACACAGCAGAACATTCCTGATGAAGGGGAAAAAAGACTGCAATTTCCTTAACTCAAAAAACTAATAATAATAATAATAATAATAATAATAATAATAATAATAATAGGAAACTGCTCCAAACCAAAGTCAGTAGAACAAAAGAGAAATACTCAGAGACTCAGAGGCTTGTAGAGTAAGACTGAGCTCATTAGTTACTCCAGTCACAGTGTCAAGTTAAACCACTATCCCCTTCCCCACTGTGCACCCCTAGCCCGCCCCACCCCCTTCTTCAGCTCCGCCTCTTTGTGCAGCACTGTCCCCAGGTGTGGGGACATACAAGTTCTCCTCAAAGCTTTCTGTCAGCTCAGTACTTCACTCCTGGAATAAATTCCTTGGCATCCGGGTTCAGATTACTTTTGCTCTGAAATAAGAACCAAGAGATAATAAATCCCACTTTAAAAGTTGTTTTCTCCCTGCTTCCACTATTACCAGTACCTTCCTCTCAGCCACCAAGAAGGAAAAAAGCTCCAGCTGCTATTGCTGGGCTGCTCTCAATGGCTCCTGACATACTAAGCCTTGGCCAACCTCATTTTCTCCTCCTGCTTTGGACTCCTGTTCTCTTCATGATGCTTTCATTAGAGACTTGCAAGTTTGACTGCAAAAATAATTTTTCAGTTCACTGAGTACCTTAACTCGATGAAAATCCGAGTATTCCACCAAAGCGGTTTGGTGACCACCATCCCTTTATTTTCCACCTCGCTGTAGTCTCTTTGGTTATCTACCCTCTTGTGAACGTCCAAAACCTGAGCAAACCGCAGGGCACAGTCATTTGGAACATGAGTTCTGTGAGAACTAAGTCACTCACAGAGTTCTGACTGTAAGTAAACACGAAAGGCAGGAAATTGGTTTATCCAGTCTTTTAACTTTAAGTGGAAAATGGCCTCTTAGGAGTATGTTCCTTCCAAAACTGCATCATTCAAAACTATAAATACAGATTTGAGGAATAGTAAAAGGAAAGAACAACAGCAAGTGATCATTTGAAACCAAACCTCTTCTGCGTTCAAATTCTTATCCCTAATCCCAGTTCTACTCTGAAAGGCCCCCTGGGGGAAATGAAAGCCAGAGATGCGGCCACAAGAATGTTTTCACGATGCTGTGTGCAACGTGTCTCCAAAGCACCCTCTTATCAAAGCCCATGGGATGATGGGTGAAGAGACAGGGGCCAGAGGCTTGCCCAAGGTGGCAGGGCCAGAAAAAAAGTCTGTCACTCCAAATCCCTCATTCTTTTCACTATGTCTCCTGTGCAACTACGTACGGCTCTTACCAAAATATCTTCAGACTCGTGACCACCGCTGACGGACAGTCCATTTAACTGCTGCTGCAACTGTCCCATGGCCTGAGGCAGGTCCCGGGAGGGGATGAACCAGTCCTGGTCTTCTTCATCCAGCATCTCCTGGAAGCAGCGGTCTAAGAAGTCTTGCTCCTGCAGCTCCTCCTCCACCTAGCAAGCCAAGGTGAGGAGCTCACACTTACCGTCCCAGTACGACTCACCCCTCCCAGTTTTCTACCTCTCTCTTTTGGAGGGTATCAGTCAGCAGTTGAGAACCATCTTGTCTACTAAGAATTAAGACGCTTCGGATGACTGGCTAGAGAAAATACAAGTTTTAGTTTTTTCAACCAAATTCCATCAACAATAAGACTGAGGAAACAGTTATTCAGAAGAGCAGAAAGTCCAGGCCTTCACATCTCTTCCGACATCTCTGCGTGACACAGACATGTTCCATCCATCCAGATGGCACTTACAGAAAATCATTTTAAAGCTTGAGACTCTTTTCTCAGTCTTGTTAAGCAACTCTTCTTAAATTTCCCATTTTACAAGTATGAAAAAGGTACAGGAATTACATAACTAGACCACTACCTGGATAGTGGAGATTAAATCAAAACCAACTCTCAGCTTCTGGCCCTCTTTTCTGGTAATGAGGCCCCTAAAGGAGAAAAATACTTTCAGAACCTTAGAAAGATATAAAGAACACTTTTTGGCAAACCAATAGAAAATGATGTCATCAATGTAGGTATCCTTTCAAAACAAGGAAAAATAGGAATATTTAAACAATTTTGTATTTCTTAAAGATGGCCCTAAACTAACGCACTATGTATCTAGGATATTTTACACCTCTTTGCAGACATCATTAACTCTTAGTAAAGAGAACGGTCCAGTCTGCAGATTAAGTGTGGTTTTAACCGGCCCTGGGCCTCACATTTGGCCATCCCTTCCCTGCGGGCTAGTGGCGACCGATTCATAGCTTACTAGCACCACCATCGAGGGGAAGTCAAGCAAAAATAATCACCCAAACTAGCTCATACACTTATTCATGAATTCAAAAGTCACCAGCAGCACAAGACGTAAAAATAGTCTTCAACATTACAATTAGCCACACCGATCTCAAGTAAATTAGATAGTTACGAAGTACTTAAAGTAACAACCACCACAAAATATTTCCAAGCCGTAAGATTTAACATGACTGCTCAAGATCTGCCTTGCCTCTACCCGAGAGCATGACAGTGTGCTCCTCCTTAGTAAATCTACCCTCATTCACAGGTACACAGAAATGGTTACCCGGGTACAGGGATGTGACTGCAAGCATGATCTATGTGCTAGTCCCACAAATCATGACACAGTGAGCTGACTGGGGGGAGGGGGGACTGCCGGCTGCCCCACTAAACTTGTTTCCTTGTTCCCAGAGCACCAGGCTGTTCAGTTAAAACCGCATTTCCTGTCTCCCATGCTGGCGATGGCCACGTAACTATTCATCATGTAATGTCTTCCCGAAGGGATGTGAACACTTTGGCATCACTTGGTCAAAAGGAGTCCCTTCCTTGGCTTTTACCTCTCCCCCTTTCCCAGTGGCTGGACTTCCAGTTATCCTTCAGCTACTCAGCTGATCAATGCCCTGGCCGGGCTGGAACAACACCATCGGAGAAGCGTATGGTCGCAGAATCACTGTCTACCTAGAATGCCTACCTTGAGCTATTAATGTCACGGGGATACAAGACAATGGATTATTGCTGAGTCTTTGTTCAAAAGGTCTAGCCTTTCCCCACCTAACACACTTCTCCATCTCAGACGTACGTTCTGCCAGTGCCTGCGTCCCCACGTGGGGAGCATGCCAGGCTGGCCCGTCTGCACACAGCTGCTGTTTATACCCTTGAAGTCTATACCACATCGCCATGGCATGAGATCCTCTTGCAATCAATGTGTGGCGAAGTGTCAGTACCTTCCTCCGAAGTACCCTACTCTGGTGTCTTACCAGCTGAAGAGGCTTCTTGGGTGAGCCCAGACCAGGCCTCCATGCATTTTTGAATTATTCTCAAGCTGATAAACCCATTTCTTTTGTTATAGATGGATGGTAAAATATTATAGCTGTTGAGTTACACGCATCTTAGCCTTCCACTTCTTTTTTTACCTGTCTGTTGAAATCTTCTTCGTTCTCCATCCACATGTACTCTGCAAATGGGTTTTCCTTCTCATCGTGCCCATTTAATCCCTGATCTTCCTTGGATTTTACATTAGGTGATGTATTTGCTACACTGGGTCCATTCATTATGACAGAACCTAAACAGAAGCAAAAGAAAGGATCAAGGGAATGAAAACCTAGAACAACCAGATTCTTCCAGAAGCTTCTAAAGTTCTAAGTCAAAGTTATTACCTATAGATGAACAGAAACTATTAGTCTGTGACTGTTAGAAAACTAACCATATTCTGCAGTTATCAACTATACAGATGTAGAATTCTTAAAGAGTTAAAAGAAAAAAAATGTCTAGGCTCAGTTAGTCTTTCTAGGCAAGTGGGAGGGGGAGATCTTTTCAAGTCCATTTTTTGCAGGTTCTAGAACCTAATCAAGGTCACACAGCTTCCTTAATGTTTAAATAGGTAGAGGAAATGCGTTTTTTGTTTTTTTTTTTTAAGATTTTATTTATTTGACAGAGAGACACAGTGAGAGAGGGAACACAAGCAGGGGGAGTGGGAGAGGGAGAAGAGGCTTCCCACTGAGCAGGGAGCCCAACATGGGACTGGATCCCAGGACGCTGAGATCATGACCTGAGCCGAAGGCAGATGCTTAACCATCTGAGCCACCCAGGTGCCCTGAGAAAATGCATTCTTAATGAACACTGTGAATGACTATGCCTTATTCTGATTCTCAGGCTGTTTTTCTATAAAACATATTTCAAAAAATAATACATGCTCATTGTATTGATAAACAAAAAGGAGAAAATTAAGGTTACCAGAGTTAACCAACTATCCAGAGTTAAAAACTGTTAACAAGGTAGTGCATATAACCTTTCTGACTTCCCCTAGGTGTATGCAGACACATAGACACACACACACATCCCCCAAGCATCCATCCTTAGAGTAACAGCATGATGCTCTATCATTTGCCTTTTCTCATTTCTGTGTTAATATTACCAAACTGTCTTTTGGGGTATTTCCAATGTTTCCATGTTATAAAGATCAGATGAACTTCTTGTGTTCATCTTTTTCAATGTTTTCCTTAGGATAACTCCTAGAAACTGAACTGCTATATTGGAAACTATGTTTGCTTTTTTTAAGGCTCTTGATTTATTGCCACACTGCCATGAGAATTTAAATTCCCACCAGTAAGATATCAGTGCCTATTCCTCTGCACTGAGTATTATTATTTTTTAAGCCACTGCCAATCTCTTAAGAGAAAAATTGTCATTTATGGTTTACATTTACATTTCTGTGATTTTTTACTGAGACTGAATATTGTGAGATATACTTACCGGTCACCTGAGTTCTTATTTTGTCATTTTTCTGCTCAAGTATTTTCACCATTTTTCTATCAGGGTATGTATCTTTTATCTGCTATAAGGACTTTTATTATATTTGTCATAATTTTTATTTTTCATTAAAGAATTTATAAATTAAAAATACTATATTTGTTTGTTTGCTTAATTTTTTGGTGGCAGTTTTTGCTGGCCTTAATTTTTGTCTACATCTTGTGTGAGTGTTTGCCTGTCTATGGCTTTTTAAAGTACATACATATTTTTTTAATTGCTTACACTTGGGCTTCCAAATCCACACTGATGTGTTTGCTGTCATCTGGAATGTGTCTTTTTTCTGTTCTTTACTTAAATCTTAACCATTCTTCAGAAATCATTGTAGTCTTTACTCATTGCTTCCCTCCTCTACCTTCCTGTACCTTGTGAGCTCGGAGTTCATACTACTTAACTATTCTCTTTCATATACATAATTTTTCTCTTTCCAATTAGATTCTCAATTTGTGAAAATCAAGATGGAGGTTTATAATCTCAATCTCAAATCTATCTCCTCCCCCATCCTCCTTGAGGCATCTTTAAGTTTTCTTTCTTTTTTTTTTTTTTAAAGATTTATTTATTTATTTGAGAGAGCGAGAATGAGAGAGAGAGAGTACATGAGAGGGGGGAGGGTTAGAGGGAGAAGCAGGCTCCTCGCTGAGCAGGGAGCCCGATGCGGGACTCGATCCAGGGACTCCAGGATCATGACCTGAGCCGAAGGCAGTTGCTTAACCAACTGAGTCACCCAGGCGCCCCTCTTTAAGTTTTCTTTAAAAATTTTTTTCCTCACTCATTTCCATCGTGGCAACATTCATGAAAAAGTCTTTCTCTGCTTCTGGGTACACTAAAAAATTATTGCTTACTCCCCTTTAAAGTTCTTGCAATTTTCTAACCTGTTATGAACATTAGAAAATCTAATCTTCTTAAAAGACAAGGGAGAATTGTGATGAGTAAAAAATTAGATGAAAAATCAACTCATTGATATTTCAAAAAGAATTTCATTTATGGCAGAAACCATTTAATTCACTGCTGTTTTAAGTAGGGCACCTAGTATAAAACATATTGGTTTAACACATTTTAAATAGAGACAAAAGAAATCAATGATTATTCCAAACACTGCTTATAATAATAATTCTATAAGCCTAAAGAAGGTAGGAAACCAGTTCTTTAATTTTACCACCTCCATTTGCAACATAACAATGACAGAAGCAAGTCTGCTCTAACTGCCAGGGCAACTCCATGACTAAGTAGGGTATCCCTAAGCACAGAGACTCTTCAAGGACCTGACCCTTGCTGGGTAGCAGGTTAAACAGTATTATATTTCCAAAGACTCATTTGGCAATTGGTTACAACCAGCACAGTGATTTCTCCCCATCAGTATGGAAATCACCCAGAGAGAACCAGCATTCAGTTTTCTAAAATATCTGCCTTTGCCTAAAAAATAGATCCTAAGTGCACATGACCGTAAGGAAAAAGAGAAGACAGATAAACAAAGAATAGAATAACCCATCTAACTCCAGAGTGAGGTGGAGCGCAGAGAGCAAACCGCAGGATGCTGTGGTTCATGAGAAAGGGAACGGAAATGTACCATAATCCCAAATTGGGGATGTTACCCAACTTAATGCAAACACTTTGGAGAAGCTGAAAACACTGTGATATGGGACAGTTAATACTAGGAAAGTGGTTCTCAGGAGGCTATACAGTGTTGATTTGTAGTCTATACCATTCTGTGTTTTCCACACAATTTTCCACACAATTGGAAAGCTTAGGTTTCCCTAAATAGAAGCAATCCAACAACTTATTTTGTATAATGTTTAACAATTTATTTTTTAAAATATTTTATTTATTTACTTGTCAAAGACAGAGAGAGAGAGAGCACAAGCAGGGGGAGCAGCAAGTAGAGGGAGAAGCAGACTCCCTGATGAGCAAGAAGCCTGATGTGGGGCTCAATCCCAGGACCATGGGAGTATGACCTGAGCCAAAGGCAGACGCTTAACTGACTGAGCCACCCAGGTGTCCCTAATGTTTTAACAATTTATAAAGTACTTTCATATCTATGCTCTGACTTCAGGCACATAATCTGTCCAACTTCATTCTAAAACAAAACAAAACAAAACAAAACAAAAACATCCAGATAGTGCTATACGTAAGACCAAAGAAGGTACCAGATTCAAGGGTTAAGCAACTTGAGTTGCTGGGTTAGCTCAAGAATAACACTGGTTTGTGGGCCTACTGGGTGACAATGCACTGGTGCTTAATGTGCCCCTAGACTTTAGTAGTGGAGTGGGAAGGGGGAGATTTTGCTGGATACTGGTAAATCCTAGGTAAGGCATTTGAGGAATGCCTTCCAACTCGGGGAAGACACCAGGTAAGACAGGACCACTGCCCATAACTTCCCTGACTTTCCTGCCTCCAGAGTTTCATGTAACATTCTCTTCCTGTTCCCAGCTCCTCTCTAGTTCACCATCCACTATGCTTGCCCTCTAAGTATCCAGTATTTTCCTAACTATCCTATTTTGTCCTTTGATGTTCATTATTTCACTTGATCCTCACCCACATCAAGGTACATTATGTGTCATCCTAGTGTAGTGGGGACAAAGAAAATACCCCCAAAGCTTCCAGAGATGGGGGAAATGCTTGGGTACATAAGTAGGATCACAAATCAGAATGGCTGCCATGTTGTCAGCTATGTTATGGTAGAGAGGCCCATGTGACAAGGAATTGAATCCTGCTAACAACCATGTGAGTGAGCTTAGTTCATCTTTCCCCAGTCAAGGCTTCAGATGAGACAGCCATCCCAAGTGATAACTTGACTGTAACTTCATAAGAGACTGTGAAGTAGAAGCATACCCAGCTAAGCTGCTCCCAGATTCCTGACCCACAGAAACTGTGAGATAATAAATGTTTGCTGTTTTAACCTGCTAAACTTTGCAGTAAGTTGTCACATGGCAATAGATAATACAGGTATTCAATAAACAATGACAACTAGTTCTGCCATACAAACCATCAGTTGCCACATCTTTCCTCTTATCTATCTAGAGAACAGGCATGCAGTTTGAAGTAGGTCACGGCTTGAGAAGTTCTTTAAGAATTAAACCTCAACAGTAGATAAAAAGAGTTTATGTCTGGCCTGCCTCTATATTGCATTATGAAATCTGAGAACTATTTGAAACTTATTCCCCCTCTACCTCATTTTCTCTTATACACATGCAAACATCCTGAAAATGGAAAATAAGAGTTGTCATTTTGGATTAAGATGGGAAAGCACATAGCCAGCACAGAGTCAAAATAGGGGTGCTAAGGTCCGCTAGGCATTTGATTTAGCACTTTACCATGGTCAAGGGTTCATGTCTAAAATATTGGGCTTGAAATAGGGCCCTCAGTTCCCAACCATAAAGAACTTCAGGACTTTTAAAGTGCCTAGGACATTTCTACAATGCTTCATCAGTTCAACACTTTGAACAACCACAACTTTCAGATCCAATGCGCTCATACCAGTAACTAGCTGTTCTTTGAACCTGAGGTTTTTTCAGAAGCTATAAACCTGGATTGTGCCCATGATAACAGCTTGACTCTGAAGAATACTTGGGACTTTTGGCTGAATTATATGGAAAAAGTCTATTGAGCAATTGCTATAAAAACTAGTCTCTACTATTCTGTCTCCTACAGTTTTGTGAACTTCTTTCAGTCTGGTTAATACCATTTTTAAGTTAAATATTGTGAATAGCAGTTTAAATGTTATTTTAGTTCAAATATGTGGCACTAGATTTGGGTTTG